TACCAGAGAGTGGCACACGCTTGCCAGGCTATACGAAAGGTACACACTATACTGTGTTTTTTTTTTATATCAAACAAATGTGGTGGGCTTTAGGTGTAGAAATGGTTGTGGTAGTAATAGTAGAGCTAGTAAAGTTTGTTAGGAGAAAATGTTAGAGCAATAAAAATGAAAAAAAAAACTTTATTTGCCCAACTACTCTGGAGCATAGTGTTAAACAATTTGTCGTAGACATGTTGTAGATTCAAGCAAAGATATTGTATGCTTTTGCACGTTTACTGATGGGCTCCAACAACAACAAAAACTAACACAAACAAATAAAGCATACATACATAGCTATCTACATTTGTGTAATTTAAAAAAATGTATCCCAAAAAAAGAGACCATGACAAAAGCAAAAACGTACATACTGAAAGTGGTTATGGTTAACAATATTTTTTTATTTTGTTGCTTGGTTGGAGGAATGCTTAAAATATTTACATTTGGTACCAGCAAAAATATAGTACTTCTCCAAAACATTTAGTACCAAAGCTACATATTGCCATTAGTGTCCTGTAATACCTCATATAACAAAAAAGTGGTATTTGGGAGACCTTCCTCGAGTTCTAGTTCAGTTCTTGTTCAGTTCTAGTTCAGTTCTAGTTCAGTTCTAGTTCAGTTCTAGTTCAGTTCTAGTTCAGTTCTAGTTCAGTTCTAGTTCAGTTCTAGTTCAGTTCTAGTTCAGTTCTAGTTCAGTTCTAGTCAGTTCTAGTTCAGTTCTAGTTCAGTTCTAGTTCAGTTCTAGTTCAGTTCTAGTTCAGTTCTAGTTCAGTTCTAGTTCAGTTCTAGTTCAGTTCTAGTTCAGTTCTAGTTCAGTTCTAGTTCAGTTCTAGTTCAGTTCTAGTTCAGTACTAGTTCAGTTCTAGTTCAGTTCTAGTTCAGTTCTAGTTCAGTTCTAGTTCAGTTCTAGTTCAGTTCTAGTTTAGTTCTAGTTTAGTTCTAGTTCAGTTCTAGTTCAGTTCTAGTTCAGTTCTAGTTCAGTTCTAGTTCAGTTCTAGTTCAGTTCTAGTTCAGTTCTAGTTCAGTTCTAGTTTAGTTCTAGTTAGTTCTAGTTCAGTTCTAGTTCAGTTCTAGTTCAGTTCTAGTTCAGTTCTAGTTCAGTTCTAGTTCAGTTCTAGTTCAGTTCTAGTTCAGTTCTAGTTCAGTTCTAGTTTAGTTCTAGTTCAGTTCTAGTTCAGTTCTAGTTTAGTTCTAGTTCAGTTCTAGTTCAGTTCTAGTTCAGTTCTAGTTCAGTTCTAGTTCAGTTCTAGTTCAGTTCTAGTTCAGTTCTAGTTCAGTTCTAGTTCAGTTCTAGTTCAGTTCCAGTTCAGTTCTAGTTCAGTTCTAGTTCAGTTCTAGTTCAGTTCTAGTTCAGTTCTAGTTCAGTTCTAGTTCAGTTCTAGTTCAGTTCTAGTTCAGTTCTAGTTCAGTTCTAGTTCAGTTCTAGTTCAGTTCTAGTTCAGTTCTAGTTCAGTTCTAGTTCAGTTCTAGTTCAGTTCTAGTTCAGTTCAAGTTCAGTTCTAGTTCAGTTCTAGTTCAGTTCTAATTCAGTTCTAGTTCAGTTCTAGTTCAGTTCTAGTTCAGTTCTAGTTCAGTTCTAGTTCAGTTCTAGTTCAGTTCTAATTCAGTTCTATTTCAGTTTTAGTTCAGTTCTAGTTCAGTCTAGTTCAGTTCTAGTTCAGTTCTAGTTCAGTTCTAGTTCAGTTCTAGTTCAGTTCTAGTTCAGTTCTAGTTCAGTTCTAGTTCAGTTCTAGTTCAGTTCTAGTTCAGTTCTAGTTCAGTTCTAGTTCAGTTCTAGTTCAGTTCTAGTTCAGTTCTAGTTCAGTTTTAGTTCAGTTCTAGTTCAGTTCTAGTTCAGTTCCTAGTTCAGGTTTCTAGTTCAGTTCTAGTTCAGTTCTAGTTCAGTTCTAGTTCAGTTCTAGTTGAGTTCTAATTCAGTTCTAGTTCAGTTTAGTTCAGTTCTAGTTCAGTTCTAGTTCAGTTCTAGTTCAGTTCTAGTTCAGTTCTAGTTCAGTTCTAGTTCAGTTCTAGTTCAGTTCTAGTTCAGTTCTAGTTCAGTTTAGTTCAGTTCTAGTTCAGTTCTAGTTCAGTTCTAGTTCAGTTCTAGTTCAGTTCTAGTTCAGTTCTAGTTCAGTTCTAGTTCAGTTCTAGTTCAGTTCTAGTTCAGTTCTAGTTCAGTTCTAGTTCAGTTCTAGTTCAGTTCTAGTTCAGTTCTAGTTCAGTTCTAGTCAGTTCTAGTTCAGTTCTAGTTCAGTTCTAGTTCAGTTCTAGTTCAGTTCTAGTTCAGTTCTAGTTCAGTTCTAGTTCAGTTCTAGTTCAGTTCTAGTTCAGTTCTAGTTCAGTTCTATTCAGTTCTAGTTCAGTTCTAGTTCAGTTCTAGTTCAGTTCTAGTTCAGTTCTAGTTCAGTTCTAGTTCAGTTCTAGTTCAGTTCTAGTTCAGTTCTAGTTCAGTTCTAGTTCAGTTCTAGTTCAGTTCTAGTTCAGTTCTAGTTCAGTTCTAGTTCAGTTCTAGTTCAGTTCTAGTTCAGTTCTAGTTCAGTTCTAGTTCAGTTTAGTTCTAGTTCAGTTCTAGTTCAGTTCTAGTTCAGTTCTAGTTCAGTTCTAGTTCAATTCTAGTTCAGTTCTAGTTCAGTTCTAGTTCAGTTCTAGTTCAGTTCTAGTTCAGTTCTAGTTCAGTTCTAGTTCAGTTCTAGTTCAGTTCTAGTTCAGTTCTAGTTCAGTTCTAGTTCAGTTCTAGTTCAGTTCTAGTTCAGTTCTAGTTGAGTTCTAGTTCAGTTCTAGTTCAGTTCTAGTTCAGTTCTAGTTCGGTTCTAGTTCAGTTCTAGTTCAGTTCTAGTTCAGTTCTAGTTCAGTTCTAGTTCAGTTCTAGTTCAGTTCTAGTTCAGTTCTAGTTCAGTTCTAGTTCAGTTCAGTTCTAGTTCAGTTCTAGTTCAGTTCTAGTTCAGTTCTAGTTCAGTTCTAGTTCAGTTCTAGTTCAGTTCTAGTTCAGTTCTAGTTCAGTTCTAGTTCAGTTCTAGTTCAGTTCTAGTTCAGTTCTAGTTCAGTTCTAGTTCAGTTCTAGTTCAGTTCTAGTTCAGTTTCTAGTTCAGTTCTAGTTCAGTTCTAGTTCAGTTCTAGTTCAGTTCTAGTTCAGTTCTAGTTCAGTTCTAGTTCAGTTCTAGTTCAGTTCTAGTTCAGTTCTAGTTCAGTTCTAGTTCAGTTCTAGTTCAGTTCTAGTTCAGTTCTAGTTCAGTTCTAGTTCAGTTCTAGTTCAGTTCTAGTTCAGTTCTAGTTCAGTTCTAGTTCAGTTCTAGTTCAGTTCTAGTTCAGTTCTAGTTCAGTTCTAGTTCAGTTCTAGTTCAGTTCTAGTTCAGTTCTAAGTTCAGTTCTAATTCAGTTCAATTCAGTTCTAGTTCAATTTTAATTCAGTTCTAGTTCAGTTCAATTTCGAAAGGCAAAAATGCCCATAGTTTTTGATAATTATAAAAACTTAAAGTAGCAAACTCTAAATAGTACCCCCTAAAAAAGTACCAACAATTCGCATTTCTATTTTAACCCTGGGTATATGCCTGAGCACGAGTAACATTTTTATTTTCGATGGCTGGATGGATGGAAGTTGTTGAACCGCTGTCAACAAAAAGCACTGTTTGTTTCTTTATTTTGGTTTCGTTTATTTGGGGGAGTGGTTTAAGCACATCCTAAAGAAGTATACGAACAGAAACCAAACCAACAAAAAAAATCAAAACAAAAAAAGTTTTGTATGGGTGCGAATACTTTTTTCACAATTTTTGTCTTTGAGTAAAACACAGCAAATGTGTGAGTGTTGTTTATAGTGACCGAGAGTGGGTATAAAATAAATGGTTAGGGAAGAGGAAGCGAAAAACACACGAAATTTTTATAAATACTCACATTTACACACAAACCCATATAAATTTATAAACAGCATGAGAGTTAAATAAAACTAACGGTTTACTAGGGTTTACTCTGTTTGGCCAGAGTTTTATTAGGAATACAAAAGAAAGAGAGAGAGAGAGAGAGAAAGACTGTATTAATGTTATGTTTTTCACCATTTCTGGTTTGGTTTTGTGTATTTACTTTGCCTTTGCTAGTAGTACTCATACGTTGTTCTCTTTTTAACATTTAATATTGAGTATACGCCTGGTATGTTGTTGCTGGAGTATAGCTGTTGTGTTCATTCGTTTTTAAATGATTTTTTGTTGTTTTTCATTTCCACCCCACCTTTGCTAGAGAGTTTTTTAACTGTTTGTTTGTTTCGTCTTTCGCTTGTTGTTGGTAGTGGCTGGAAGTTGTTGCTATTGCTGCTGTTTCGTTGTACTACTGCTACGTTTCGTCTGTGGCAAAAGGTGTTTTGTTCATAGAATTACAATCAGTTCCAAAGTAACGTTCGTACGAATTCGTAGTGTCTTGTGTAACTGTGGTGTTTTTTTGTGTATCGTTTATTATTATTATTATTGTTAACATTCTCAAACGTTGTAGCGTAACGCAAAGAAGAAGTAAACAGAAAAAGTAAAAAAATATATTATTTTTTAACGCAAAACCTTTCTGAAAACAAACTAAAAAACGCCGCCGCCGTCGCTGCATTTAGTTACCAATGGATTTTTTTCTAAAACACGTTCTAATATCAAATAATACGGTTTTATTATAAATAAATTTGTTGTGCGTGTGAGTGTGTGGAAACAGCTTTACAACACAATTTCCGTTTGAGTTTTAATTACATTTCAATAAAAAATATTTTGCCAAATAAACCGTTAAATCGTTTATAAAAACAAATAAACACGTGGAAATAAAACAAAGCAACAACAACAAAAGCTTAAAATAAAAACAAACCTTAACAAAAGCAAAAGCTTTTCAAATAAACAAAACAAAATAATTTAAAGTTCTTTAGCATTTATTTAAAAATTTCTCAAAGTGTTAAAAAAATAAAAGAATTTCAAAGTTTTATAAAAAGAGTAAATAAAATTAAAAATTTAGTGTTTATATAACTACCCAACCTTTTTATTAAAAAAAAATTAAAACAATTAGTGCTTTTTGCGTGCTAATTTAATGCAAATTATAAAATTTGTTTTATAAAAATTAAATCAAATTAAATCCCGCAAAGGCAGCCACCTCTTTTTTGGAATATTATTCATTTTTATAACACGCTACGCTGCTTATTTCTCTATACAACCTAACCCAGCAAACAATTTTGCTGTTTGTTAGCGTGTCTAAAGTTAAACGTGCTTTTTAATTTATTCGGTAAGTCTTTATTAATGGCAGAATTAAAATGAGTTTTAAACAACAACAAAAATAAAGCAAAAAAGATTTATGACTTTTTAAACTATTTTATATTTGCAATTTTTAAACAGGCTTTAGTAAACAATTGTCAATGTTTATAACAAAAACAAAAAGTTTTTAATATAATTGATTATTAAGCTATTGTAGAGGTAATAGCGGTTTAATAAACAATTCTTTAAATAGTATTTTTTAGTGGAAATATAAATAATGTGTTAACTATTTATGCAATTTTCTAAAAAATTGCAATTGATGTTTTTTTAATGTAATTTATAAAAAGATTATTACTTTATTAATCTAAGCTTAATTAAAGATAACTGCTATTAGCTGGCTGATCAATCAATTGCTTTTATTATTAAACCGCTGGGGAATAGGGCGCCTTTAAAATATTTCTGTCGGCTGATAGCGATTTATTAGGAAATTAATAGAATTTAAACATCTCAAGCGTTTGTCCAAGACAAACTTAAACTTACAATAAACTTTTTAGAAAAGCTTGCATTTCAACACAGCTTAAAGCTTTTTAAGCATTTATATTTGCTCTCAACTTTATAAATATTAAGGTTTTTAAAATAGTGTATTTTTCTATAATTATTTTCTTGAAGTTTCCACTTAAGTTTTGTTAAGGTCAATATTTCTGCCGGGGATTTTTGTAATTTCAACAAAGCTCGTTTTATATAAAGGGAATACTTGTTGACAATTAATTTAAATAATTTAATATTAACATAAGTAAAGCTCTTTAGTATTTATTATAATTATCTTAAAATCTTATTTTTTTAGAATTTATTTTAATTAATAAAAAGTTTATCTTAAAGTTTTACCTAACACTTACGCTGCTCTGTCACAATAATTTGAAGTTCATGATGACAAGTAAGCTTGCTAGTAGTGACAGGTAGACTCTGCTTGACAAGTATTCTAATGGCAACTATAGACGCAGTGTAATTCTAAAAATTTTAATTTGAAATGAAAAGACATTTTATAGGATTTTCCATTTCAGAAGTTATAGTTCAGTTCTAGTTAAGTTTTAGTTCAGTTCTCGTTCAGTTCTAGTTCAGTTCTAGTTCAGTTCTAGTTCAGTTCTAGTTCAGTTCTAGTTCAGTTCTAGTTAAGTTCTAGTTCAGTAGTTCTAGTTCAGTTCTAGTTCAGTTCTAGTTCAGTTCTAGTTCAGTTCTAGTTCAGTTCTAGTTCAGTTCAAGTTCAGTTCTAATTCAGTTCTAGTTCAGTTCTAGTTCAGTTCTAGTTCAATTCTAGTTCAGTTCTAGTTCAGTTCTAGTTCAGTTCTAGGTCAGTTCTAGTTCAGTTCTAGTTCAGTTCTAGTTCAGTTCTAGTTCAGTTCTAGTTCATTTCTAGTTCAGCTCTAGTTCAGTTCTTGTTCAGTTCGTTCAGTTCTAGTTCAGTTCTAGTTCAGTTCTAGTTCAGTTCTAGTTCAGTTCTAGTTCAGTTCTAGTTCAGTTCTAGTTCAGTTCTAGTTCAGTTCTAGTTCAGTTCTAGTTCAGTTCTAGTTCAGTTCTAGTTCAGTTCTAGTTCAGTTCTAGTTCAGTTCTAGTTCAGTTCTAGTTCAGTTCTAGTTCAGTTCTAGTTCAGTTCTAGTTCAGTTCTAGTTCAGTTCTAGTTCAGTTCTAGTTCAGTTCTAGTTCAGTTCTAGTTCAGTTCTAGTTCAGTTCTAGTTCAGTTCTAGTTCTAGTTCAGTTCTAGTTCAGTTCTAGTTCAGTTCTAGTTCAGTTCTAGTTCAGTTCTAGTTCAGTTCTAGTTCAGTTCTAGTTCAGTTCTAGTTCAGTTCTAGTTCAGTTCTAGTTCAGTTCTAGTTCAGTTCTAGTTCAGTTCTAGTTCAGTTCTAGTTCAGTTCTAGTTCAGTTCTAGTTCAGTTCTAGTTCAGTTCTAGTTCAGTTCTAGTTCAGTTCTAGTTCAGTTCTAGTTCAGTTCTAGTTCAGTTCTAGTTCAGTTCTAGTTCAGTTCTAGTTCAGTTCTAGTTCAGTTCTAGTTCAGTTCTAGTTCAGTTCTAGTTCAGTTCTAGTTCAGTTCTAGTTCAGTTCTAGTTCAGTTCTAGTTCAGTTCTAGTTCAGTTCTAGTTCAGTTCTAGTTCAGTTCTAGTTCAGTTCTATTCTAGTTCAGTTCTAGTTCAGTTCTAGTTCAGTTCTAGTTCAGTTCTAGTTCAGTTCTAGTTCAGTTCTAGTTCAGTTCTAGTTCAGTTCTAGTTCAGTTCTAGTTCAGTTCTAGTTCAGTTCTAGTTCAGTTCTAGTTCAGTTCTAGTTCTAGTTCAGTTCTAATGGTTTTACTGACAAATTCTAAGGAATTATCCAATATATTTCTTTAATATTCTATTTAATTGTCTATCTAATTTACTGGGTTATCTTCAGCCAAAGCATTTAGTATGACTATTAGAAATAAAACTCAAAACCAATGCAATTTCTAATCTAAAGTGACAAGTTAACAATTTAAATTACTATTAAAATATGAATGTATGTGACTATTACCATAAATATAAAAATAACAAACAAATAATAAAAATTAATAACAAACTGCTAAATTAGGTCAATTAAAATTATAAAAAAATATAAAAAAACACCGTGTGAAAAGCTACAAATTATTAACAGGAAATAATTCTTACATAAAATGAACACTTTTTGGGTTCAGAAAAATAAAAAAAAAAAATTAAAAACAAAATATAAAACTTATAATAAACATGTCTAAAAAACCAATACCCAAAATGCTTAGACATTTTACCGATAACCTTGATTAAGAGAAATTTTTGATGTGGACCAAAAGAAAAAAACAAAAAGGTTCACTCACGACGACATTATTATTAATATTAGAAATTAATATTTAAAACAAATTAGACTGCGGAGGAAAAAAACTACTACTTATTAAGGCTTTAGTCAAGAATTATCAAAAGATAACCGACACATTATTCACACATTTGGAACATTTCCATAATTTGGTTTTCTTACGTTTTAAAATAGTATTCCTAGCATAAACAAATTATAGTTTTCAGAAAGAAAAAAAAAACCATGAAGCTACGGGGTTCAATGTGTTGTGCTGAGCGCAGCTACAAAAAACTATAACTGAAGCAGCTCTAATGGAGAGTAATAAATTATAATGATGTTGCTGCCCAAGTTATTATTACTTACGATTATTAATCAGAAGCACATTTACATATTGAATATTTTATAAATTATTTCAACAGAATTGAATCTGTAAAACAGTAACAAACTAGCTACATTTAACGTTTATCTATCTAGATACCTACATCTATGTATGTAGTTTGTTTATTTTGTGAAAAAGGGGTTTCCTAAAAGATACAAAACTCTTAAACAAGCTTACACACCGTGTAGCTAAGAAAACTACTAATAAAGCCAAAATAAAAACTCCAATTTTTTCCAATTTATTTTGTATAGATTTTGTGTTGGCCAGAAAACAAGTTTTCTTTTTTTTTAAACAATCTGCTGGCTAAACATTGAAAAATGATGACTGGTTATAAGAGAACAAATAATACAAATATCGAGATACACATACTACAAGCTGCATATGGAAATGATTTTTACGTTTTGCTTTTTTTTCTTCTGTTATATTAATGATATGTTAGGTTTCTTGGTTGTTGTTTGTGTTTTTCTTCTTTAAGGAATATTTAATTAGCTTATTATTTCATAATTTTTATAAAAATAAATTAATAATATTTTTGTGTTGATTTTTTTTTTGTTTGTTTTCTTACGCTCCTGAACAAAGATTTATTAAAAATGCAAAAATAAAAGTCATAAAAATTGTTGTCTGCTGGGAATCTATAAAAATTTGTCTTTTGTTTTTGCTGTCATTTAAACGCTTTATAGGTATTTTGTTTAAATAAATGTGGTTTTTGAATTTATGGAATTTTGTTAATTTTATTTTCGCATAAAAAAACTTTATTAAGAATTTCGAGGTTGTTGTTTTTTTTTTTGTAGAAGACAGATGTTAATTTTAAGGAATTTTAAAGTTAATGTAATTTTAACACTTTTATAAGAAAAGACAAAAATTATTAACATTTTTTAAAGTTTTTGCTAAAATTTTGTCTCTTATATTTGTGAATTTAAAACAGCTTTTTGTGCTTTTAAAAGTTTTCATAGGTTAAAGCGTTAAGTTTATAGAAAAAGTTTCTAAACTTTAGTTAGTTAGTTAGTTAGTTAGTTAGTTAGTTAGTTAGTTAGTTAGTTAGTTAGTTAGTTAGTTAGTTAGTTAGTTAGTTAGTTAGTTAGTTAGTTAGTTAGTTAGTTAGTTAGTTAGTTAGTTAGTTAGTTAGTTAGTTAGTTAGTTAGTTAGTTAGTTAGTTAGTTAGTTAGTTAGTTAGTTAGTTAGTTAGTTAGTTAGTTAGTTAGTTAGTTAGTTAGTTAGTTAGTTAGTTAGTTAGTTAGTTAGTTAGTTAGTTAGTTAGTTAGTTAGTTAGTTAGTTAGTTAGTTAGTTAGTTAGTTAGTTAGTTAGTTAGTTAGTTAGTTAGTTAGTTAGTTAGTTAGTTAGTTAGTTAGTTAGTTAGTTAGTTAGTTAGTTAGTTAGTTAGTTAGTTAGTTAGTTAAGTTGATAGGCCTCTATCGGAAATCGAACCCATTTTATAAATTTCAAGTTAAAGCTTCAAAACATTAAGTTAATTAGCTTAAAGTATAAACCCCGTATTCATAAAGCTTTTCCCTACAAAATTCCTTTAATAAACCTTTAATAGCTTTATTAATCCTTTTTTAGTATAAGTCTATAGTCTGTACCGATATTTACTGTTATTTCTTTGAAGTTAATTTTAGTCTGACGGAAGTTATTAAGACAAGTAAACAGTGCTTTAGCTGTTCTCTCCGCAACAATAGTTTAAAGCTAAATAAATCGCGAGAGCTTTGTAGCAACGTTAGCGAAATGTTAATAGGAAATTTTATTTGTAATCATTTAAATTTTAAAACAAAAAAGTTATAGAAACAAAAAGTATAGAAAACTGTTGTTTATATAGAAATGAAGT